AAAAAAAAAAAATAAAAATCGTTTCGAGCATGTAAACCCACCTCTCTCTCATTCGGGAATATTCTTCGACGACTATAGCGCATATGAATTACGCCAGCATAAATGCATTATTTTATTTATTTTTTTTTTTTTTCTGTTGATTTAAATAGCTATTGTGTGCTCTCATCGTTCTTTTCGTGTATTTTTTTTTTATTTATAAAATCGACAAATAATAAATCGACCACGCGACTTCGTAAACGAAAATGACGATTCAAAACGATTACTTTACAATTCAAATGAAATAATAATTATTATTAAATAAATAAATAAATAAATCGTCGTTATCGTAGGAAGACGTGTGAGTCGGGAGAATGTTTAAAAAAAAATAAAAAAAATAAAACAAAAAATAGAAAAAATAAATAAACAAATAATTATAGCATGCGATACGAGTTGTAAACGTTTCAGGAACTGGCGCACAAATTATCGCGAAGCTTCGATATGCAAGATGCACAATTACTCGAGGAGGGTGGTTCCGGTGGTGGTTCGATTACCGGAAGTGGAGGACCAGGTGGACCACCTAGGAGACATCACAGTGCTCAAAGATTAACCAGAAACGAGATGTCTGATAGAAGAGACGAAGATGGTGCATTGGTTGTACCAGATCATCAAGGAAATCTTAGGATCACTGTAAAAAAAACTAAATCTATTTTGGGCATTGCAATTGAGGGTGGTGCTAATACTAAACATCCCTTACCGAGGATCATTAATATTCACGTTAGTATTTATTATTTCATTCTTTTATATCTTATACTTTGTTCCAGCAATTATTTTTATGGGGAGGGGGCCTATGAGATTTTGCATTATTTAATTATAAAAGATGGAATCAATAATTATTTTTTTTATTCTATAATTTATAATTAATTGATATATATATATTATTAAATAATACAAAATATTAAATTAAACAATTTTAATAATTATTTTATAATTATTATATTATATCTGTATAAAAATATACTTTATATATATATATGTATATATTTATTATATTTTATATTATATTTTATATTATTTATATATAATATTATATAATATTATTATATATAAT